TTTGATAGTATTTATGTCACAGCTATAACTTAGAGTGATTACACTGAACATAATAAATGATAGAAAGATGTGATATCCTTGGAAGCATTATAAGTAAAGACAAAATCTGGGCTGATCCACTTTTTCTACCAGTGCAGGATTAGGGTTTATGAAATACTGAGGACCAAACAGTTTCACTTTAAGGCAACTCCAAATGATCACCCTTCACATTCTCTTACAAGATGAAAAGTTGTTAACATTTCTACCTGTAGACACAGACTATCAGATATCGACTGATACCATGGGTTTTGACCATTTGAAACCATTTAATGTTACCTCTTAGTTAGATAAATAATTAATTGTGAGTCTGGTCACTATACCTAGTTGAAATTTTAGAAGAACCCATTTTGGTCCTCTCCACATACTTTTATAAAATATTTCTACCCGGATCAAGTCTATTGTCTAGAATTTCAATTTGCCCTGACCATTCTCAGCTTGACCTTATTTCATATCTCCTTATAGTCCACCTAAAAAAATGTGCTATAATAACTGACCTAAAGAACATCTTGTTACTGAAAAAAATCACATTTACTTTTTCATGACTTGCCTTCCTGAGCTACATTGCCCCGGGCAGCTTTAGTCTTGCCTACCTTCTTTTCTCATTTTCCCTACCTTCCTTTCCCCTTCTACATATCAAAGATATAGACAAGTTCCTTTCAGTCCTTGCTTCCTGACTTTTTTCTTTTTTCTTCCAGGCTTATGTGATCAATTTAGAATCATTTATCATAGGGTCCTCCTATCAAGCTGTTGCCTCCCCATGTGATACCTGGGTTTGCTAAAAAATGCCCATCATTCTGAAATAGTCTCTTTCCCCTGCCATAACTACTAAGAATAATTCCTCAGAGAAATATGTTTAATTTGCAACCAGTTGAGACTTTCAGCTAAAGGGAGGTCATTTAAGACCTTCGAAATAATTTTCAGGCAAGTTCTCTAATTAAAAGTAAGAAGCTCACCAACAAAATGCCATGTGGAGAGAAGTATGAGGCCAAGATTGATCCATGGTTGAAAAGGATTTTGCCAGGAGGCAAGTATGAAGATTCACAAGTACAAATTAACCATGTCCTCTTGCCTTCTGGATCTAAACCAGTTGTGAAATAGCCCCAGGACCCACATGAGAGGAGAAGGGCTGTTTTAGCTTCATTACCCCATAGATAGGGCACCCTAAGGTTCATAGATTAGAAGAAGTGACTGGAACCTGTAGCCAAAACTGAACCTCCTACTGTAGTCCCTCAAATCTAGACCTTGGGATTGCATTTGAGGAGAGTTAGTCTGCCAGTAGAGCATTTAGCGAGCCAGAGAGGTCACACTTTATCCCAGACACCACTGAATAAGGAGAAAGAGCCAGAGAGAAGTGAGCTTTCAGGCCGTCTCCTGAGAGGGCTGGTCCTGCCCCTGGCTATCCTTACCCTCCTAGTTAGAAGAGCAGGAAAACAGATGGCTCTGCTTGAAGACATGTAGAACCTGAAATTATTGCCTAGTCAAAACCAAATCAAGTAAGAGGAATAGAAGCAAAAACCTTCATTAGGTAAGGAAATGATTCTAGCAAATGCTATCTACTTCACAGGTTGTAGGCCATAAAGAAGGTCTGGATGTTATGGAGAGAGCTGATCCTTTATTCCTTTTAATTGGACTTCCTACTATTCCTGTCATGCTGATATTAGGCAAGATGATTCGCTGGGAAGACTATGTGCTTAGACTATGGCGCAAATACTCAAATAAACTACAAATTTTGAACAGTATATTTCCAGGTAAGGTCCTAAATTGTGGTTGTAATGAGCATGTGAAATTAATCTTGTGGATGAATCCTAGCATGCAAAAATATCTCAGCTGTTCTGATTTATTAGCACTAATACTCTGAATTTTTTTTCTTTAGGGATTGGTTGTCCTGTTCCTCGAATTCCAGCTGAGGCTAATCCTTTAGCAGATCATGTCTCTGCCACCCGAATTTTGTGTGGAGCCCTTGTCTTTCCTACTATTGCAACAATAGTTGGTAAACTGATGTTCAGTAGTGTTAACTCTAATTTACAAAGGACAATCTTGGTAAGATGGCTTTGGTATTACTTTTTTCAAGTGACTATACAAACCAGAATAAGCTCTGTATTTTTTTCTTTAAACAAGTACCCAATGGGCTATATATAGAGTGGCTTCTGTGCCTTAAGCCTCTGATCTCTACTGCCATCCAATAGCAGTAAAGAGGGGAGGATTCACTGCAGTAGTTCTGGCCTTCCAGGATTATGCTGTGAGCAATTTCCCTCCTGGAATGTGCATGAATCAAAACACCTTTCTCTCCTGCCAGCAAGACTGTGGTGAAGAGCTTGTACTCTAGGGTCAGACTGCTTGGTTCAAATTCCTAGCAAAGATACTGTCTTGCTGAGGAAATGAAAACATTTCTTCTCTGTGCCTGTAGATTGAAGATAGTAATGATAGATAGCTCCCTTGAGATAATTGTGAGAATTAAATGAAATAGTTCATTGGAAGTACTAGCACACAGTAAAACCCTTATGTTGTTTGATGTCATTACTACTCCCACTTCCCCCCTCTGGTGTCAACCTGCACGTTGTGCCTGGGCATTCTCCCTAATACATCAGATTGGACGTAGAGCTAAGTGGAAGATTACTCAGATAGGATAACAGGGAAGGTGTCTCTAACCTGTTACCTGTAGTCTCTCCCTGTCTCACCTCCTAGTAGAAAAGGAATTATTTCATTTGCATTCATCTGAACTAGCATCAATGCCTCTGTCTTGTGATCCAAGTAAAATTATTTTATTATTGTGTTTCTCTAAATCTGCATTGTAAGAAGCTAATTTCCCTTTTTATTTTAGGGTGGAATTGCTTTTGTTGCCATAAAAGGAGCTTTCAAGGTTTACTTCAAACAACAGCAATATTTACGTCAGGCACACCGAAAAATTCTTAATTATCCAGAGCAAGAAGAAGCATAAAACTGTGACTCTGGTTGCTCTGCAGTCCTCTCATCCTTATGAGTCTGTTGTGTTGGTTTTGATCCCATCATTAATGCACAGTAGTGGAGACTTGTGATAAGTTGCTGCCCTCATATTTTTAAGAAATATAATAAAGCACTTAGGGCAAGGGAAATCCTCTCAGTAATCATGGAACCTAAGGATGTGGTTTGGTCTTATTGTTTTATGCACTTCTTTATGGCAGTCATCTGAAAGATCACCTTAGCTTGGTAAACCTGGGTTTTATTGTTTTCTCCAGAAAAAAATGTAAAGATCAAACTGCAAATGTTTAAAACTGTACATGCTGTTTTATTCAAATGCCTCTTTTGTACATGTTCATGTTAAGTGTTTTCTTAGAATCAGCAACTCAATGAAGGTACTCTTAAGGATTTTTCTCACTGGCATAATTTGATTACATGCTATACAGGAGTATATGTTAATATGAGGAAATGTAAATTAAATTAGCTATAAATAACAAACCAAAAATGTATGTAAACATTCAAATAATTATCTGAACAAATGCAATTTTGTTTGTATTTTTCTTAACCCATGTGATGTCCTCCAAAATGTGTAGGGTAAAAATTCATGGGGCTTCCAGATCACCTTTTCACTATTAAATTTTATTTATATAATATTGACATCTCATAGTTCAATAATGTAATTTTGACTCAAGCAGTCTTAATTACTGTGTGTGTGTGTGTGAGAGAGAGAGAGAGAGTCAGTCACCCGGTCCATCACTGGAATAAGGTTTTTAAATCCATATTTCTAGAAATCAAAGCTACCAGTTTATAGTAGTTTGAGCATAGAGAGTGATTTGCAAAAAATCTATAATTTGATTTTACTCTCTCTTTCCCTGATTCACTTATTTCAGGTATTTGTTGATCACCTCTTATTTGCCCAGGCACTTATGCAGAGTGCTGTGGGACACAGGGGTGAACAGGACAGACTTGGTTCCTGCCTTTATGTAGTTTACAGTCTAGTTTCAACAGATAGAAAACCAGCAGTGAGTAAACCAAGGTGAGGCCTTGAGCTCTTTGTTTTTATACCAGTCAGTGAGGAGATAATTATGAAAACAAGTCTTGAGTAAATATTGAAGTCATTGTTTTTGGCTTAAATCAACTTATTTAAAAACTGATGTTATTAGACTTTATTTGCTTGTCATATCGATGAGGCTAGCACCTTAATCATCACTGTTTAACTAGTTTTATGTTCATATCTCAAAAGCAGTTATTTATTTTAAGCCATTTTCAGTAGTGGCCCTTTTAATGTTCAACAATCAGAATGATCTTGCAGTTATTTTCATTAATTAAAATCAAGTTTCCAAAACACTCTTATGTTCATGGTATCTAATGCATGACAATAATATGTTTCCCCTTACTGATAAAAGGCCACTTCTCTTTAGGAGTGTAGCAAATATAGATTGAGCTATGTTAGATTACAATAATATGTTAATTTTAGTAATTTAAGACTGATACCTTTCTATAGTATGAATGTCTTAATTTTGAATTAGAAGTTTATGTGAATGGCTGTTGAACNAACTATAAGAAGATAGCCTTGGTTACCATCACACACTGTACCAGAAAAAATGAGGGAAGTCGAAATGATATTCTTACTAAGTACTAGAGAATCTAATTGTGGCCAGAAACTGTTTGGGAAGAGCAAGCTAAGTTGGCCATTTCATTTTCCAGTAGCCAGTGTTATTAAAAGATAGAAGTGAGAGAACGATTTCCTTTATAAAGAAGCAGCTGTGTTTGAGGCTTTAATCTTTGGTTTATATTTTTGGTTTAAATTTTTATGAAGTTAAAAATGTGAAGATGCTGTTTCCCAGAGTTTAGGAAGTAAAACTATTCAAATGACTGAGAAGTTCTAAATCTATTCAAATCTATGTTTCCACCACATTTATAACAGTTATTTCTAAAGCATCAGAACATCCAACATTATAAAAATATTTTGGATCTATGGAAAATACTGAGTCTTTTTTGTATTTTAATCCAACTTGTGTTGAAACTTTACTTGTTTTCTTTGTGTTGCAGGTCCAGTTGTTTACGTCTTGGATCTTGCAGACAGACTGATCTCAAAAGCTTGTCCATTTGCTGCAGCAGGAATAATGGTTGGCTCTATCTATTGGACAGCTGTGACTTATGGAGCAGTGACAGTGATGCAGGTTCACTATTTTACTCTGTTCAACGATGTACATTTGATATGAAGATCTATCGCTTAGGAATTTTAAAATTTACTAGTTTGAACATGTAATAACATAACTGCAAAATAAGAAAATATATAAAAAGCTATCCAGTGAAAAGTCATCTTACTCCTGTCCATCATTTACCTAGGTTCCCCCTTACCTCGCCAGGTAGCCACTATTATTAGCTTCATATATATTCTCCCAGACTTTCTCTGTGCATATGCAAGAAAATAAATACATTCTCCCACATAGATACACTTTTCTTTTTTTTAATCCCAAAAGGAAGCATATTGCAGCTGCATCCCTTTTCTCACTATGAGTCTTGGAAATCTTTTCATATAAGTATGCATAAGTCTGCATAGCATTCTGTGTATAAATTACAACAATTTACTAACCAATCTCTGGTTGATTAGACAGTTAGTTGCTTCCAGTTTTTTGCTCTTACCAAACAGTGCTGTAGTCCATAACTGGTGATGAAGGTAAGAAAGACTTAAATTTCAAGATTAGTCACAGGCTCTTGATGCTTCTCTCTTTACACCTCTTCCTTAAAGATTTCCATCTATCATCTCTGTGCTTTTTGTGCTCAAATCTGTCTTTCACCCTATTCTTTCCCCAAATCCAGCCCTACAATAGAAGCTTGACCCTCCTTAAATGACTTCTTGGGACTTCACACTCAGTATTATTGTAATCAAATTTGTCTTTTCCTCAATTTGAAACCTAAATTTATTCTCCATTATAATTTCTCTATACCTTTGATTCCTACTGGTATTTTTCCATGTACTATATTTCTTAGGATTACCTTTAACTCCTTCTACTTGATAGCCCTCTGTCCAGTCCACTGACCAAGTCTAAGCAGTTTCTATTTTGATATGTCTTGTATCTGTGGCTTCCTTTCCACAGTCTTTACCACCTGACTTCTTCCACTGCCCCATCATACCTGAATGGCTTAAAGGAGCCTCTTGGTTGGTTTTCCTAATTTATTCTCTTCTATCAATCCATCCTTACAAATAAATCTTCCTGAAATATAGTACCTTCAGCATACTCCAAGCTTATTGCCTCCTCTCCCTTTAGTATTGTTTTTCAAAATCACCTAAATTGGTGAGGTGTTTCATAAATAACTCACAACAGTTAACACAGTATGGTTTATAGATGATATAACTTGCTTTTCTTTAATATAAATAATTCACAGAAAAAAAGGGATCAAGAGAATTACATAGAATATCCTAGAAATTGCACATAATCTATCTATGGGAGGGTCCATAGTGATCAGCCTTTCTGGTTGCTTCACTAATAGTCATAGTGAGACAGAGTATTGCAGGACACCTTCATTATTATGTTGGTAACACCCCAAAGGTCTGGATATAGTCACTGGAATGAATCAAAAATAGTAAACCACCATTTATCATGAGTCTGCTAGATAAAGATTGAGAATCACTGACTTGAAAAAGATTCCATTTCCTTAACCTGATTTGTTAAGCAGAGTCCTCCATAATCTTAGTTCATTCTACTTTGAGGCCTATGGAGCTATCTCCTATAAAGCATATACACAGAGCTAACACTTAAAAAGGCTTTCAGAAATTTTTTTTTGACCAGTTCTGTCAGCTAGTACCAGATTTGACTGGTGATAATATAATGAGTGTCAGTACATCATTATATCCAGGAAGTTCAGGATGATTTACTAGGACTGACGGACATGTAAAATTAGAGCAGATTATACATTATTTATAATTTATATATGAATTTATACTTATAATTATATGTAATTATATATTTATATAGAATAAATATATAATTACATATTTATATATAAATAATCATAATTATAATTATACATTATTTAACAGGTGTGTATTTTTTGGAGATGAGGAAACTAAGGCCATCAGATTGAGTGATTTCTCTTAAGCCTAACAGACTATAAGAAATTGGGTGGCTCTTTCTGAGGAAAAGATTGTACTAGACTAAAATCTTACAAAAATTTTGATAATTAACAGGATACTTCAACAGGACCCAATTAATAAACATAGTTTGTATCCTCCAAAAAGGGCTACCAATGGGATTTTGGCATTTTGAACCATATTTGGTATGATTTATTCAAAAAGTTAGCATAAAACTGAGGCCTGATGAAATACAAGACAAATTAAAAGCTCCGATCCCCAACCTCAAGGAATATAGTCTAAGACAATGTGTACATAAGTGAATAACTGGAGAACAGTTATAAGGTTAAATACACAGATATGAAGAGAGCACAGATAATGCATAAACAGTATTTTAATTCAGTAAAAACCAAGTATCGTTATTAAAAAAGTAAGTCTTGAGGTGACCCTTGAAATAATTTTGATTGGTAGAGGGAAGGAAATGATACAAGCAAGGAGACAAAAATGAACGTGTTGGTTAATGGTGACAGAAAAGAAGACCTAAAATTATGATAAGACATGTATATCCTATGTGACCATTTAGAAATAACCTTCACATGTACTGTCTCATTTGAAGATTCTTTTTAGCCCAGGAATGAGGGAGATTAGGTATGACAGTAGGCAGTCACGGCCCTGTGATTTAAGAGCACTGGGAAGACTTTTACCTATCTGAGCAAATTTGATGGGGAAGGTGCCCCACTGTACCATCAGTGGGATATATGGTCTTTTTTTTAACATTTGACTGTTTCTTTTCCTTTTGTCCTCTGATTACTCAGAAGGTCAAGTAAATCAGATTAAGGAATGAGATCACTGTTCTTTTCCCATTTATTTCTCATGAACCAGTCTGAGGTTCAACCCCTCTTAGTTGTAATGAATTTGAATGAGACCATCACTTAACATTTTTAATGAAAAGACAACATCATAGTTAACTTGTTTTTTCCAGCACTGGGATGAAACACCTTTTAAGCACTGATGCATTTAATCCTTGTAATAATCTTGTGACATAGATACTATCAATTATTCCTAGTTACAGGTTCAAAGAGTTTATTTGTCTGGTACCACATGGCAAGGAAGAAGCATTAAGACTCCTGTCCCTAATCTAGGGCTCCTTAAGTGAAACCTGGTCCCAAAGGCAGCCGAAACATTTTATCAGAGGATAGTGGAACCTCAATATCCAACCTGCTCCACTTTTGCTATAGTGTAAAGACAACCCCCATAAGCATTGTCCATTCTTAATTACACTGCATTTTATTTATCCTTAATTCTGACTAAAAACCTATTAGTTCATCACTGTTCCATTCTCATATTATAAGTAGGCTTCTAATAGTGCTTTAAATGATCAGGCCTTAATTAAAAGTCTCAGCCTTTCAGCATCATGATCTGCAAGCCTAGCTTAATTTAGCTTTCATTTATTGCTCATGAGTGTGATGGTAGTAACAGGTGGTATACTGTAGGTATTGCACTATCCTATCTCCTTTACAGCATTTATATTTGTACACTTGTTTGTCTTTCACCTCCAAAAGACATCTATTTAGCTCACCATTTTATCCCCAGCATCTGGGCCTGTGTATGGCACACAATCAGTATTAAATTGAATGAATGAACTAATACAAGTATGTGTGCATGGTGAGCCTCTGCTTGAGCACAAAGCATCCTCCATTTTAGCTGTAAGAAGTGGGATAGTAGGCCTTTGCTCAGTGTTTGCCCTGTTTCCTTTTTTATTTCCTCATTCTTAGACATCTAGTAAAGTTTTTACTGCCACCCATGAGGAATAAATTTTTGTTACTATAGTCCATACCTGAATATTCACTTTGTATTTTTAAACCCTAAATTTTCAAAAGAATGCATAATCCAGCAAAGGAATTTTTCAAATTTCTGAAATTATTTGTTAACACTTTGATAGTATTTATGTCACAGCTATAACTTAGAGTGATTACACTGAACATAATAAATGATAGAAAGATGTGATATCCTTGGAAGCATTATAAGTAAAGACAAAATCTGGGCTGATCCACTTTTTCTACCAGTGCAGGATTAGGGTTTATGAAATACTGAGGACCAAACAGTTTCACTTTAAGGCAACTCCAAATGATCACCCTTCACATTCTCTTACAAGATGAAAAGTTGTTAACATTTCTACCTGTAGACACAGACTATCAGATATCGACTGATACCATGGGTTTTGACCATTTGAAACCATTTAATGTTACCTCTTAGTTAGATAAATAATTAATTGTGAGTCTGGTCACTATACCTAGTTGAAATTTTAGAAGAACCCATTTTGGTCCTCTCCACATACTTTTATAAAATATTTCTACCCGGATCAAGTCTATTGTCTAGAATTTCAATTTGCCCTGACCATTCTCAGCTTGACCTTATTTCATATCTCCTTATAGTCCACCTAAAAAAATGTGCTATAATAACTGACCTAAAGAACATCTTGTTACTGAAAAAAATCACATTTACTTTTTCATGACTTGCCTTCCTGAGCTACATTGCCCCGGGCAGCTTTAGTCTTGCCTACCTTCTTTTCTCATTTTCCCTACCTTCCTTTCCCCTTCTACATATCAAAGATATAGACAAGTTCCTTTCAGTCCTTGCTTCCTGACTTTTTTCTTTTTTCTTCCAGGCTTATGTGATCAATTTAGAATCATTTATCATAGGGTCCTCCTATCAAGCTGTTGCCTCCCCATGTGATACCTGGGTTTGCTAAAAAATGCCCATCATTCTGAAATAGTCTCTTTCCCCTGCCATAACTACTAAGAATAATTCCTCAGAGAAATATGTTTAATTTGCAACCAGTTGAGACTTTCAGCTAAAGGGAGGTCATTTAAGACCTTCGAAATAATTTTCAGGCAAGTTCTCTAATTAAAAGTAAGAAGCTCACCAACAAAATGCCATGTGGAGAGAAGTATGAGGCCAAGATTGATCCATGGTTGAAAAGGATTTTGCCAGGAGGCAAGTATGAAGATTCACAAGTACAAATTAACCATGTCCTCTTGCCTTCTGGATCTAAACCAGTTGTGAAATAGCCCCAGGACCCACATGAGAGGAGAAGGGCTGTTTTAGCTTCATTACCCCATAGATAGGGCACCCTAAGGTTCATAGATTAGAAGAAGTGACTGGAACCTGTAGCCAAAACTGAACCTCCTACTGTAGTCCCTCAAATCTAGACCTTGGGATTGCATTTGAGGAGAGTTAGTCTGCCAGTAGAGCATTTAGCGAGCCAGAGAGGTCACACTTTATCCCAGACACCACTGAATAAGGAGAAAGAGCCAGAGAGAAGTGAGCTTTCAGGCCGTCTCCTGAGAGGGCTGGTCCTGCCCCTGGCTATCCTTACCCTCCTAGTTAGAAGAGCAGGAAAACAGATGGCTCTGCTTGAAGACATGTAGAACCTGAAATTATTGCCTAGTCAAAACCAAATCAAGTAAGAGGAATAGAAGCAAAAACCTTCATTAGGTAAGGAAATGATTCTAGCAAATGCTATCTACTTCACAGGTTGTAGGCCATAAAGAAGGTCTGGATGTTATGGAGAGAGCTGATCCTTTATTCCTTTTAATTGGACTTCCTACTATTCCTGTCATGCTGATATTAGGCAAGATGATTCGCTGGGAAGACTATGTGCTTAGACTATGGCGCAAATACTCAAATAAACTACAAATTTTGAACAGTATATTTCCAGGTAAGGTCCTAAATTGTGGTTGTAATGAGCATGTGAAATTAATCTTGTGGATGAATCCTAGCATGCAAAAATATCTCAGCTGTTCTGATTTATTAGCACTAATACTCTGAATTTTTTTTCTTTAGGGATTGGTTGTCCTGTTCCTCGAATTCCAGCTGAGGCTAATCCTTTAGCAGATCATGTCTCTGCCACCCGAATTTTGTGTGGAGCCCTTGTCTTTCCTACTATTGCAACAATAGTTGGTAAACTGATGTTCAGTAGTGTTAACTCTAATTTACAAAGGACAATCTTGGTAAGATGGCTTTGGTATTACTTTTTTCAAGTGACTATACAAACCAGAATAAGCTCTGTATTTTTTTCTTTAAACAAGTACCCAATGGGCTATATATAGAGTGGCTTCTGTGCCTTAAGCCTCTGATCTCTACTGCCATCCAATAGCAGTAAAGAGGGGAGGATTCACTGCAGTAGTTCTGGCCTTCCAGGATTATGCTGTGAGCAATTTCCCTCCTGGAATGTGCATGAATCAAAACACCTTTCTCTCCTGCCAGCAAGACTGTGGTGAAGAGCTTGTACTCTAGGGTCAGACTGCTTGGTTCAAATTCCTAGCAAAGATACTGTCTTGCTGAGGAAATGAAAACATTTCTTCTCTGTGCCTGTAGATTGAAGATAGTAATGATAGATAGCTCCCTTGAGATAATTGTGAGAATTAAATGAAATAGTTCATTGGAAGTACTAGCACACAGTAAAACCCTTATGTTGTTTGATGTCATTACTACTCCCACTTCCCCCCTCTGGTGTCAACCTGCACGTTGTGCCTGGGCATTCTCCCTAATACATCAGATTGGACGTAGAGCTAAGTGGAAGATTACTCAGATAGGATAACAGGGAAGGTGTCTCTAACCTGTTACCTGTAGTCTCTCCCTGTCTCACCTCCTAGTAGAAAAGGAATTATTTCATTTGCATTCATCTGAACTAGCATCAATGCCTCTGTCTTGTGATCCAAGTAAAATTATTTTATTATTGTGTTTCTCTAAATCTGCATTGTAAGAAGCTAATTTCCCTTTTTATTTTAGGGTGGAATTGCTTTTGTTGCCATAAAAGGAGCTTTCAAGGTTTACTTCAAACAACAGCAATATTTACGTCAGGCACACCGAAAAATTCTTAATTATCCAGAGCAAGAAGAAGCATAAAACTGTGACTCTGGTTGCTCTGCAGTCCTCTCATCCTTATGAGTCTGTTGTGTTGGTTTTGATCCCATCATTAATGCACAGTAGTGGAGACTTGTGATAAGTTGCTGCCCTCATATTTTTAAGAAATATAATAAAGCACTTAGGGCAAGGGAAATCCTCTCAGTAATCATGGAACCTAAGGATGTGGTTTGGTCTTATTGTTTTATGCACTTCTTTATGGCAGTCATCTGAAAGATCACCTTAGCTTGGTAAACCTGGGTTTTATTGTTTTCTCCAGAAAAAAATGTAAAGATCAAACTGCAAATGTTTAAAACTGTACATGCTGTTTTATTCAAATGCCTCTTTTGTACATGTTCATGTTAAGTGTTTTCTTAGAATCAGCAACTCAATGAAGGTACTCTTAAGGATTTTTCTCACTGGCATAATTTGATTACATGCTATACAGGAGTATATGTTAATATGAGGAAATGTAAATTAAATTAGCTATAAATAACAAACCAAAAATGTATGTAAACATTCAAATAATTATCTGAACAAATGCAATTTTGTTTGTATTTTTCTTAACCCATGTGATGTCCTCCAAAATGTGTAGGGTAAAAATTCATGGGGCTTCCAGATCACCTTTTCACTATTAAATTTTATTTATATAATATTGACATCTCATAGTTCAATAATGTAATTTTGACTCAAGCAGTCTTAATTACTGTGTGTGTGTGTGTGAGAGAGAGAGAGAGAGTCAGTCACCCGGTCCATCACTGGAATAAGGTTTTTAAATCCATATTTCTAGAAATCAAAGCTACCAGTTTATAGTAGTTTGAGCATAGAGAGTGATTTGCAAAAAATCTATAATTTGATTTTACTCTCTCTTTCCCTGATTCACTTATTTCAGGTATTTGTTGATCACCTCTTATTTGCCCAGGCACTTATGCAGAGTGCTGTGGGACACAGGGGTGAACAGGACAGACTTGGTTCCTGCCTTTATGTAGTTTACAGTCTAGTTTCAACAGATAGAAAACCAGCAGTGAGTAAACCAAGGTGAGGCCTTGAGCTCTTTGTTTTTATACCAGTCAGTGAGGAGATAATTATGAAAACAAGTCTTGAGTAAATATTGAAGTCATTGTTTTTGGCTTAAATCAACTTATTTAAAAACTGATGTTATTAGACTTTATTTGCTTGTCATATCGATGAGGCTAGCACCTTAATCATCACTGTTTAACTAGTTTTATGTTCATATCTCAAAAGCAGTTATTTATTTTAAGCCATTTTCAGTAGTGGCCCTTTTAATGTTCAACAATCAGAATGATCTTGCAGTTATTTTCATTAATTAAAATCAAGTTTCCAAAACACTCTTATGTTCATGGTATCTAATGCATGACAATAATATGTTTCCCCTTACTGATAAAAGGCCACTTCTCTTTAGGAGTGTAGCAAATATAGATTGAGCTATGTTAGATTACAATAATATGTTAATTTTAGTAATTTAAGACTGATACCTTTCTATAGTATGAATGTCTTAATTTTGAATTAGAAGTTTATGTGAATGGCTGTTGAACATTCAAAGTTGTAATTATATGGGGAGAAGGGAATATTAGACTGACAGTGAGCTTTATTAAGAACACTGCTATAATTCTGAAGGGGAAATGTAAAACCTATGATTATTATATAAAAATAAACTTAGACTATATAGCTATAATTATAAAATATATTGGCTTTTCTTTAATTTTCAATATGAAAAGACATATTGGAGATATCCTGCATAATGTTATATAGAACAGGTTTTAAGCAGCCTTTACTAAAATTATACCAACACATGGTTCCCCACTTACTATTTTAAAGCCCAAGATGGGAGGTCAGGTTTATTGGCACCAGGGCTCATGAGGGCCAGGGAAACAGCCCTAATCCTTTGGGGGCATCAGGGAAGGGTTTCTAGGGCTATGGGGAGGGAATTACAAGTGCCTGGGGACCACAGTGGCCTCTAAAGAGCTGTAGCTCAAGAAGTATCGTGTACCAGTCTTCAGAAAGGTGACCTGCACCACCATGAAACAAGAGTAGTCTGATTAAAGTTGAATGGACCTGGGTTCAGATCCTGTAATTCCGCTTTTAATAACTATGTATGACCTTTGCCAAGTGACTTTCTCTCAGCTACAGCTCTCTTCATCTCTGTAATTCAAGTTATACTTATCCCAGAAGACTATTTCTAGGATTAACTAAGAATGAAAGGAACAGACACACTAGGCTTGAAATGGCCCCTACAGAGTAGTTGTTTCTTAATTGCTGGGTAGTCTGTTCACACGCATTCTTGGAAGAGGTAATGAAGAGGTAAAAGAAAGATACTAGGAGACAGATTAGAGGGATACTGTAGATTTGGGGGATGGATGGGTATTTCTGATGTTTTCCAGTTTATTTTTGTGTTGCTTTACTGTGTTTTTATAAATATAGTGTTTCAAACCTCTTATAAAAGTCACAACTAGTAAAATTCTCTTCTTTGCAGAACTTTTATCTCCAAAGTGGCTGAAAATATTGTTCATCATTACATTATCAAATGACTGTGAAGAATATAAAATTAAACTTAGTGACCTAATTATTCACTGCCTTGCTAACCTGCTGTAATTTTTGAAAACATCTTGTTTTTAATATAGAAGACTATCTCAGTACTGGCTGGATTAGGTTAAATAAAGAATTTTTATGTTCCCTAGGCGTTCTTGGTCTGTTGAACAACTCCTCGAACATAATTTGTTAATTCTATGCCTACATGGTTCTTTTTAAATATCAAAATACCAGTGAGATTTTTCTTTCAGTAAAAATTGGAATTTTTAAAAACCAGAAGACTATCTTAATGTTATAAGCAGGCTAACCTAAATTCCAAGTATGTTCTAATGTTTTAAATGTACCCCCTGTACCTACCCTCAGAGCCACTTGGACTGACTGGACAAGCAACTAGACAAGATCTGTGGGTGGTCTCATGCCACTGGATATCTTAAATTATATTCAAGTGTTGTGAAAACAAGTTGCTTCCTCTGAGATAGTAAGAGCCTAAATTTCTGAAGATTAGAGTTCTCTAGAATGAGTACATCAAATAAAGGCTCTTTTATCCATGGTGGGTATGCATTGTTTCTAGGTCACATCTTTACCAGCAGAGAAGAAAAGGTACAGAGTAGGACAGTCAGGGATGCATATTCTAGGTGATACTTAGTTGTAGGGCAAGTTACTTTGTTTCTCAGACCCTCAATTCCCTCATCAATTTTAAAACAAATTATAATTTATGAAATTACAAAACATTATACAAACATTTAATTATAAAATATTTCCTGGACTATTGTAAGGATTAAGTGGGGTAACATTCGACAATTCAGTGTGCAGAGAAAGTAAATCTTTGAGTTGAAGTAGAGGTTGGTTTGCCTTTGCCTGTCTTTGGTCTTCTGGGATCTCAAGGTTGCCTCTCTCCTGCCTACTGTCCACCCGCACACACACACACACCCCTTCACTAAAAATGGCAGAAAAATGAAAAGTCTTACTTGACTGTGAAACCAAGATCCTGAGCAAGAGGAAGAGAAAAGTGTGGCTGAATGGTTGTAAAAGCCTTGGGCAAACAACAGGAGCTACACTGTCAATCTGGTCCCCACTTACCTTCACCCAGGTGGATTTAAACATACAACAGCCTGCCCCAGGCACTGTGTGTCAACAACATACACTACTTTACCAGATGTTTGTTGAGTATTAAGCCAGGCACCGGGCTAAGTCCTGGGGTAAAAAGAAATAAATCCACTTTAAGATTTTACAGTCTTCAAAATATAAAACATATTTCGAGCCTTACGGTATTACCACTGCAAGAATGTAAGACCTGTAGGGGTGGAGTTTTTGGGTTTTGGGTTTTGGGTTTTTACTGTTCTATGCCACAAATTAAAAGCATTCATGGGCCACTGTGGAATATTTTGAATCCTTGGGAAATGTGCAGTACTTAAGTATAGACTGTCTCTAGGTTAAATTAGCAGGAAACAGTAACAGGAGCTAAGGTAATAAGTTCGTGATCCCTTGGTACACATCAGTTTATCCATATGTATTAGTGTGTTTATCAATTCAGATCATTGTGCACCCAAAATAAGACTTGCTAAAGTACACAATTTCTAAGGATAAATCTTTTATTTTTGTCAAATGATCACATACCTAATCAGTCGGGGTCTAGATGGGAGATAAATCACACCAGTTATTTGAACAGGGAAAGTGTAATAGGAGGAATTGTTGACATGTAGAAAGTAAATACTACGAGGAGTAAAGAGGACTTTAAAGCAAAACAGAGGCAAAACAAAGCAGCTACCACTTCAAGGCTGAAGAAGAGGAGACGAGGGAAGTAAAGAGCAAGAGAAGGCCTCTTTACCCACAAAGCTAAGGTTCAGACCCCTTTGACGAAGGCATGGCTACCATGGAACTGTGCCCCACAGGTGGCAGAGAAAGCTGCCAGAGGGCAGGCTGCAGCTGGTACATAGAAGCTGAGCTGGTGGGGAGAGGAATAGCTGAGGGTGCCACTAGACTTCTGCATAGCTGCTGGGCTCTGCCTAAACGTCAGAATGGAGGAAGGTATCTTCCTGATACAACAGCCTTGCAGTGTCACCCCAGTGCCCTCTACAAAAAGGCTAGTGTTCCAAAGGAGATATGTTAACAAGATCCAGTTAGTGTTATAAAGTTGAGCTAAGAAGGGTGGATTTGGAACTGAGAGCATGTTGGCATGTGAAACCGGTGCCCTTTTTTGTGACCCATTCTAGTCAATCTCTGACATACACCCCACCCCCACCACAAGGAGACAAAATCTCAACCTCTTTTCAGTTAATAACTTAGAAAGTATTTGGGAAACTCATTTAATCCTGAAATATTTGATTCACAGAAAGGACCACAGTGATTTAATGTAACACCCAGGATGATAAATGGGCTGTTTTCATGTATTCTTGTTGGGGTGTAAATTGGTATGGAGGACGGTTAGTATCTGTCAAAATTACAAATGCATATACCCTTTAACTCAGTTCCAATTCAAGGAACCTATCGAAAGATACACTTGCACTTGGGTATAGCAACATGAAGTTATTTGTTGCAGCAATGTATGTAATAAGAGATTGGAATCAACATAAATGTCAGGAATTGGTTAACCAAGTATGGTTTAATATCCATAATGGAACACTATGCATCTATAAAAAAATGAAAAAGCTGTTTACATATTGTTATAAAAATATTTCTAATATATGTTGTTAAAAGGAAAAAAAATTAGAATGTAGAAGAGAGCTTATAGTATGTTACCACTAGCGGAAAAGGGCAGGCACTGGGGAATTTGTATAAACATTTATCTTTGCCTTTAAAACATCTCTGGAAAGATACATAAGAAAACTGTAGCTATCTACAGGAGGTTTGGGAACTAGGAGGATGGGGTAGGGGATTGTAGGGAGACTTACTGTTACTTCAATACTTTTTTCTTAACTATGTATATACATTATTTTTTAAGTAATTAAGAGTTAATTTTCCCACTGAGGACAGTTCTGAAAATCAAATAGGAATTTGTTTCTTTTGAAGATAATAACATTTGAACTGCATGGCAAGTTTCTCCTTTCTAAAGATGGATGTGATTTTTTTTTTGAGAAATGATTTTGCATCTCCCTCAAATAGATCTTCCAGTAGGTATTCAAAAATGTTTATTGAAATGAGAATTTAATAATGTGGGTAAATGGTGAACCACTGTGTTGTGTACTTGAAATTAATAAGATTGTCTATCAACTATACTTCAATAAAAAAAGTTTATTGAACTGAATTTACTTCCATAAGATTCATTTTTAATAGAACATATTATAACTAGTTTTGTTCAGCAAATTACATAAGTGGATTTTGAGAAAAAGCTATCCACCCCATAAAAATGGATACTAGAACTTATTAAAGCAGGAAATTAACATAACCTGTAGGTTTATTACCGATTCATTTATTCACTCATTAATTTGTTAAGTAAACATTTCTTGAAAACTTTATATCTCTGATATTGACTAGGCACTAGAAATTCAGAATTAATAGTAATAATGTCTATTGTAGTATCCAATATTTATTGCATGCTTGCTGTGTGCCAGGTACTGTTCTAGGTATGAGTATTAACTCATTTAATTTTCACAACCCAGATGTACTGTTTTTATACCATGAACAAATTGTAATATGTTAAAAATGAGGTAACTGAGGCACTCTGGTTTTGTTTTTGTTTTTTAAGTAAGTTACCCAGGGATACATTCCTCTACCCACATAGAGCTCACAGTGTAGAGGGGAACAGCCGGGAAAATATGAATACCAATCTAGAGTGAAAAGTGAAATGACAGAAGAGGTACAGAGGTAGCAAGAGGTTGGAGCTTCCCAGAGGGGGATCTTGGAATATGAATATGAATTTGACAAATGGAAAGAAAGGAACATAGATAGGCACAGTGTCTTGAGGAAAATTCTGAAAAAGAAAGTGATTTTGATACTAGCCTCATATACTCCAGTATTTTGAAAAGGGGTACTGAATATATTGAACATGTGGTACTGTCATGTAAATGGACAAAACATTGGAAAGACTAGAAGTCTAAAAATAGATGCAAGTGCAAATGGGAATTTTGTATATGGAAAAGGTAGCATTTAAGTCAGTAAAAACAAAGATGAATTAATCAGTATGTGGTGTTGGAGCAACTGGTAGCCATCTGCAAATTCCATTTACCAAAGTAAACTCCAGTTAGAACAAAAATTTAAATCCAAAAAGTTTAACCATTAAAACACTACAAAAGGGGGAAAATATTTGCAAGACATACCTGAAAAAGGACTTGTATCCAAAACACAGAGAACTCTTAAAACTCGACAAGAAGAAAACAATCCAGTTAAGAAGTGGACAAAATATCTGAACATCCATTTCCCCAAAAATGATGTATAGATGGCAAAAAAAAAAAGCTCAACATTATATATATATATATATATATCATTAGGGAATAACAAATCAAAATAACAATGAGATACCACTACACACCTTTAGGATGGCTAAAATCCAAAAAACTGACAATTGCCGAATGCTGGCAAAAAATGTGGAGCAAGAGGAACTCTCATTCATTCTGTTGGGAATGCGAAATGCTAAAGCCACTTCGGAGGATACTTTGGTAGTTTCTTACAAAGCTAAATAGAGTCTTTCACACACTGTTGTGCAACCAACAATTGTATTTATGGGTATTTACCCAAATGAAACACTTTTGTCCACACAGAAACCTGCATACTATTTATAGCAGCTTCATAATTGTCAAAAACTGGCAGCAGCCAAGATGTCCTCCAAAGTTAATGGATACGCTGTGGTATATCCATATAGTGGATTATTATTCATCAAAAAAAGGAGAAATAAGTTGTCAAGCCACAAAAAAAAAAAGGAGATGGAGGAATCCTAAATATATATTGCTTGGTAAAAGAAACCAGCCTGATGAAGCTATATGATTTCAACTATATGGCTTCTGAAAAAACTATATGGACAGAAAAAAATCAGTTGTTTCATGGGTGGGTGCTTGGGGTGGAGGCAAGGATAATGAATAGGTGAAGCACAGGATTTTTAGGGCAGTTAAACTATTTTACATGATACTGTTAATGGCTAATATATGATATTATGCATGTGTCAAAATCCATAGAACTGTGTAACACAAAGAGTGAACACTGTAAACTGTAGACTT